TGCGCCAGAGCTCACGACGTTCTGACCTTCAGAATCGCACCGTGTACGCCCACCTTTACGATTTCCGGATAAACTCAATCCTGACATGCGCCAGAGCTCACGACGTTCCGACCTTCAGAATCGCACCGTGTACGCCCACCTTTACGATTTTCGGATAAACTCAATCGTGACATGCGCCCGAACTTCCCGCTGCCCTGTATCTTGGTCTCTCATTGGCTGTAGGTCATCGCCGATGTAGTTTTCAGTCAGAACTCACACAGCGTGATTGTGAATCCCTGACAGCTCCAGATATTTAGCATACCAAATATTTCGCGGGCGTCGGCGACGTGTCGGCGATTCCCTCAAGAAAACTATTTCGTCCTCAGAATCCATATTTTTATGAATGGCGCGAAATGTAATGCTTATGTCAGAGTTTGTAAAATCGTAGTAAATTCGTGTCGTGTGTGACTGCCTTCTGCGATTATCGGATAAACTCAATCGTGACATGTGCGAGAGCTCACGAGGTTCTGACCTTCAGAATCGCACCGTGTACGCCCACCTTTACGATTTCCGGATAAACTCAATCCTGACATGCGCCAGAGCTCACGACGTTCCGACCTTCAGAATCGCACCGTGTACGCCCACCTTTACGATTTCCGGATAAACTCAATCCTGACATGCGCCAGAGCTCACGACGTTCCGACCTTCAGAATCGGCGATTTCGCAAAACCTGTCGGCGAGTGAAAAATCGGGCTAAAATCGTGCAGTGTGAACTCGGCATTACTCTGTGAGGTTTTTCAACAAAGACTTCACTAATCCGCCACCAGATGTCACTTTAATCACGTTGTTTAGAAAGATTATTGTTGGCCTGAAGCAACATTTATTTTGTTACATTCTGTGCAGTATATACTCATGTGATTGCCTACAAATTACGGTGCATGCACAATATTTAGAAAATATATAAAGATATTTTAAAAGTAACTGCTCTTATGAGTTTGAGTTGTCGCTCTGCTTGTTCACGTACGCACCTCCACGTGAGCTGACCAATCAGCGACAGTATGTAAATGAGGCTGGAGTGAGTACTCTACTGTCCCCTGAGACTAGCGTCATTTTATCACTCCACTCAGCGTGAGCAGCATATCCGTGCTCCTGGACCGCACAGGATTACATGCTAAAGGAAAACAGTGCGCGACACATACTAAGGATATCCGTTTCTAATGTGCAATATGACTTTTGAAGAACCGTATGGAGACAACGCAACGGAAAGGTATGTTTTCTTATTAAACTTACTGGTGTTGCACTTTTGTTTGAGCCGAGCATCACGCGTATGTTATCTGTCTGTGCCGTTGAAAGATCACGAGGTTCACAAATCATTTCTCGAAATTTTAATACGGATTTCCTCTTGGTGACGTGTGCTTATAAATGACTTTTACTCGAACGTTGCACATGGTCTCTTGTTAACTTGCTTAAAATGCTTCACGTGCAGAAGTTTGATCAAATGACAGTAACGTTACTAGTAGTGACATTGATCAAATGTCCTCTTCAGCTGCAAATCGCGTTCATGCAGAACGTTTCCTTACATTTTGTGCTTTAAGAGAACTTAATTTGGTCATTTGGTGTGTAAATGAAATCTAATGTGTTTTTAATCATTTTGTAGAATGGACTCGGTTGAAAAGGCACTGGAAGAGGTCCTGACTGCTGCATTACCTCAGGGTTGTATCACTGTGGGAGTTTATGAGGCAGCGAAGTCACTTAACGTGTAAGTGGTCATTGCAGATCCCTTCTAAACCATAGATGGGTCATTCCACGTTTTAAAAATGCGATAAATGCTGGGATATAGTCAACAGGTTAACATTTTTGCCATCATTACTCTTAAGGTCATGACACTACAAAGAGAAAAACACAACTACCAACAACAAAACACAAGATAAAGATTTGTAGAAGGGCTGATTCACAAACTGGACACAGAAAAAACTGTTTCATATTTTATTATCTTTTCATGTTTTTGCACATTCTTAAATGTACTTTCATTGTCATTTTCGCAGGGACCCAGACAACGTGGTTTTATGTCTGCTGGCCACAGACGAGGAGGATGTGAAAGACGTCGCGCTCCAGATTCATTTTACCTTGATTCAAGCATTCTGCTGCGAGAATGACATCAATATCTTACGAGTGAACAACATGAGACGTCTGGCAGAGATCCTGGAAGGCGTGAAACCGGGAGGAGAGTCGATGGACCTCCACTGCGTATTAGTCACCGTATGTGTCATTTCACTTTCCTATTGCACGCTAGGTAGCCTCGAGCACACAGATCGATCAGAATGGTTCATGCATGTTCTTATTAACTGCCAGGAAGGTTTAGTTAAACTCTTTGAAGGCGGCACGGCTGAAGTAGTTTACAGTTCAATGATCCATTAGAGCGTCTGTGATGTGGAATCCCAGCCGGTCTGGGGCTGCAGTAAACTGGCAGCTCTTCAGTGAGATCTAATAAGCAGTGCTGAACTTCTGTGGCTATCTTTAGTATTCGCAGAACTTCCTGTGCAACACTGGGGCATTTCTGCAAACACGGTTTCCTGGAAGAAAAGCTCTGTGAAGTGACCATCTTTAACAAATTAGAGAGAGGTCCTTTGAAAACAAGTGCTTGTCCGTTAACCAGCAGCTGTTAAAACCACTCACCGCCAGACTCTTGCTGTGGACCTTCTGAATTGTGCAGTTGACAGTTTTTCTCTTTTCTCTCACAGAATCCACAGTCATCCACGTGGAAGGATCCAGCCCTCGGCAAACTGAATCGATTCTGCAGAGACAGTCGGGGATTGGACCAGTGGGTGCCGGTTATCAATCTGCCCGAACGATGAACAGAAGCGGACAAACAATGTCAGAGCTTTTATGGGCTCCTGCACTAGATTTGTGTTCTGCTTTGGATGAAGCCTAATGCCACTGAGAATGAGACATGAGGGGGATTAACAAAATGCAATGGATGATATGTTTTCCAGCAAACCCAATGATCAGAAGTGTGGGTTTTGTTTGTCCGGTTGGACAGGTGATTCATGGTTTCACCTCAGAGCAGGAAGAATGACTGCACTGTGTTCGCAGTGCTGCCAGGGAGCGACACAGGAAACTGAATCACACATGCTGGAATAGAGTACTAAGAGTGAGCTGAGAGACTGGAGTGTGTTCAACTGGAATCTACTCAATGAAATGTGATCAGACTGTCGGAGGTCAGATGGACTGTTAAATGATGGGCATGACCCTTTTGCAGACATACTGCAATTTAAAGACCGTAACTTATGATGTTAATGCTGTCCTGTATT